ATTGTTCTATTTCAGTGTTATACACAAGAGTTCAACACACACATTCGTGCATGCACAAGGCACCCAACACCAGTTTTCTTGGAGTGCAGCAAGAGCATATTTATTTGCACTTCTTATATTAAATACAAATACATATGGCATGTGTCAATTTCAGCAAATCAAAACATCTAAGAAGACATTCTACAAGTTTTGAAATATTCGGCCCCTTCTTGGATTGAGGGACAGACAACATTACTATATAAGTTTTCAGTGATTCTTAGAAAACCAAATGAAGTCCACATTTAGGGTCTAGTTTAAGATACACACTATACAGCAGACCTTGCATGTAAATTCAGCTACTGGAACAACCTTCAATCCAAAAGTGATTTAAAGGGACCTTGTGACTTAGTAAGTATCTGTGTAATTGCAAAGAACTAAATGTGTGTTTTCCAGAAGAGGCTGTTAAAGGGCAAGGCCTATGCGATTAAAGTGCTATGTGAATCTTGCGAAACTGTATTCCTGTTGAATACTGTAATGGTTAAACCATTAGGCACTAAACCATCGCCTTGCCAATATGTTTTCTCTCCAACATCCACAAAGGGCAACTTGTAATGTGTTGAAAACCCTGCATAAGTTGATTTAACTTGGACTTAATGTGAGAGGAGTGACTAGCCAAAACCTTTCCATGCTAAAAATGTTTCAATAACAACAACAATATTGGATTGATCATTATTTTTAAAATCAGTTAAATAAAATGGACTATGTAGCTATTTAATGCTTGCTAGTGCTCCAAAATCTTACCATTGAGTACGAGCGGGGCCGCCGGTTTGACCCTCATCTGGGTGTTGACCAGGTTGGGTCGGCCTGTCTTCTTCGAGCTGCGCTGACGAGCCACCAGTTTAGCGATGTGGGCCGTCTCTTTTGTTCCTGACGCAAAACATAAAATCTGCAGGAAAGAGGGGAGTAGATAGATATTAATTGGAGATACATCACAAGGTAAAAAAGGAATAACCTCATATTAACCCCCAGGTGTGTGCATCTTATCCAAATGATGCACACTGTATTTGGAGACATTGCGCTATGAAGAAATATGCTTATGTAAAGAATAATCTGAATAATCTTATTTTATTATTGCTAAGCATCTATCCTTAATCATCAACAATCCTGCAGCAGCCACACACACCTCTCCAGAGCGGCCGCGCTCTGTGCGGACCACGGAGGGCATGCTGGATAGCAGTGCATCCAGGTGGTTGTGTCCCATCAATTTGTGTGGTATCTGCTCCCCGGTCAGCTCTTTGTACTCGGACTGCAGACGTGACAGTGACACCCCTCCTCTGTTGGCCTGGAGGACGGCCCGTAGCATCTTCTTCACCAGCTCCACGTCAGCCATCTGAAAAATAATTAAATACATTTGTAAGCAAATAAACAAAATGTTGTATATTAGTTGAAAATGTAATCATTTTCACACCTGGCATCTAAACAATTTAGTACAACAAATCAGCTGCAATTTCGGGAAAAATCTATTTAACATCAACTGGATATTGTGCTTATTGATATGTAGTATGTTTCATTTTTTATTAGTGGTTGTTATCAATTACCTGCTGGTAATCAGCTTGGCTGCAGGCAAACCAAACCACCCAAAAGATGAATTTACAAAACCCTTTTGGGACAAACCTGAGTCAATTAAAGCTTCGAGAAAAGTGTAATAACATACATCTCAATATCTTGATATGATAAAAGAAGCTTGAGGCTTGAGTTCTGGATGAAGAGACACACCCTCAACAAACAGCCTCATATTTATGCAAAGGGTTTGCACAATACAATAATGTAGTGGCCAACTTTTTGACCCCGTTTTAGTCGTCTAAAAATAATTTGGAATGGAAATTAATCACTTCAGGAGTAGTCTATCTCACCAACTTTGCATTGAGTGTTTAGAAAGACACCCTTGTTTCAGTCGGGACTCTTTCTGTGTTAAAGCTATACCTTGAATTGAAGAATTCCGAAAACTAAGTTATTTAATGGTAGGCATCTATGAACAAAAAAGTGTGTACTTTACTGGAAACAACTGAAATATACATGTCAGATTCGCGATAGTGGTTAAAAAGACATTTCCCAGCAATAGATTCCTTTCGGCCACTTGTTGATTTCTTTGCAGCGCAGGGACAGGGAAAACTACGAATGACGTAACTCTTCACACTTCTGTGCTCCACACCCTATGGGAACTGAAACTATTTGGATAAAGTTGCCTTGTCTTATTTATTTTCTGTACAAACCTTTAATTAAAATAGTCGTGATTTATTGAATGAAACCGGCAGAGAGTACCACCAGACATCGCATGCAGTCAGTTCAGGGGACGATACTGAGCATAACATCGAGTTAAATCCTCCTGCCACCTCCGGGACAGTGGCTCGTTAAGTTACCTGAGGTATGCTAGCACAACAACGGAACACATAAATGTTGCCTTCATAATAAAACTACAAAGACTCACCAAGTTTATTTTACCTCGTATAGTGGTCACACAAGTTTTAACTTTGAAAGTCACTACATGAAGTACGGGCTTGTGTCCTAGCTAGCTTGACAGTTTAGAGCCATCCAAGCCGGTAGTACAGAAAGAAGCTAAACAAATACCCGACAACTTTGCATGTGTGTTATAAAAGTAATGTAAATTAGGATAAAAGCTACATAAACCTCTACCTTGCTCTAAAGAGACGGAGAAGTGAAGTGTGGACTTGTTCCAGTCGCTGTCAGGGCTGTCACCACCACAGTGCTGCGGCCGAAGAAGCACTCTCCCCGGGGTGTCTGCTCTCTGCCAGCCGGTCCGGGGACAGCCTCTCCTCCGCCTCCTGATTGGTCGGCTGTGCACGGGGTTCTGGCTAATTACACGTCGATATATTCTATGCAGCACGGCATAGAGGGTACATCTCCTGCACAACACGACCATCCAGCAGCACAGAGAAGCACATCCTCACATCTGAGAAGCTGGAACTATAGAATGAGTAACTGATAGAAATACAAGTCTGAAAGGATTAATGGTTTATCAAAGTAGATAGGGATTTTTGTCAATACACACATACAACATTATTCGTAACCATTCTATATTTAATATTTCAATCAAATAATTTATGCATTTTTAGTTTTCTTGTATTTAGTGTTATATTTTTGAGAACGACATTTATTTGTTTATTTATTTCTGTGATGCCCCTGTGGGTTCATCTGGAGAGGGTGTGGCTGTGCTGCATCCAGCCTCCTTGATTGCAGTAACTCAGGGCACCTGGGTCTGGTGCCCTGCAGTTATTTAAAGCCTCTGCTCCTCTCTGTCTTTCCTCTGCTTCTCCCTGCAGGCACCCCGGTTTTGTTGAGTATGCTATGAGTTTCTTCAGTTGCTTCACTTTGTGCAACACTCTCACATATGTCCATAAATCCTCACCCTGCATTAGCGGGGTACACTACTGATACCACTGACATCCACACCTCATACTTTATTTGTTTTGCACTTAATTAATTTGGTTGATTTGAATTGTTTGTTTAAATAAACATTTTGCTAACCGTATGGTGTGTCTCCTCTTTGTTATGGCCTTTTGAGCCAGGTCATAACAAATGGGGGCTCGTGCCAGTAGTGGTTCAGACAGCTGGTTTGACGTTTGAGCAGCAAAAAGAGCTTTTGGCCATGCAGTTTGAGCAGGAGTTAGAGTTGGAAAAGATGCGACAAGTTGTGGTTTCGTGCTCGTTTCAAAATATATTTTGATCTGCATCCAGCGCACGCATTAAGAGGTGAAATAACCACAGTATCAATCACGGATAAACTCCACATTTGTCTGCTTATCCCCCTTGACCCAACTTCTGAACTTTTGACAATATGCTTCAGGAACCAGTTCGTATGATTTTAACAATGTTTAACGCTGATTTTACTCTAGCATAGTCCAAAGCATTTTCCACACAAATATTGTTGCTTTTTACCTTATTATGGTCTTTCGCCACAAATGGGCGCGGCCACTAGGAGCGCTAATTTACACTTCTCTGCGACTTTGGTCGTTCAGGCCACCGGAAGTGAGCTGTCAAAAAACGGAAAAGACTACCGGATTTCCAAGCCAGGTAGCCGACAAAATAACAACAGAAGATCGTTGTTGTCTGTATGAACACCCTAAAGAGCCCCATTTAAAGAGAGGAATTTCTGTGTATGCCAGGTGAGTTCCATTGTAGAATACATCACGAGTTAGCTTATTTCTGCCTGTCATTTTAGCCTGCTAAGCCTAGTTGGAGTGTTTTAATGTTAGCCATGAAGCTAATCTGCCTAGCTGTTGACATTTAAAATGTTCATTTTAATATCCAACTAAACCTAGGCCTGTATTAAAGTAAGGCGTAAGTTAAATAACTAACTTAAGAGATTCAAACCATCCTTTGTATGGCTGTCAGAATAATTTTTGGGTATCTCAAGCTAATAATGCTACAACGTTAAAGCAGACTAGCTTGTTGTCTTTCATGACATTTGTCCACCCTTTTCTGTCGTAATACTTTTGCGTCCTTTTTGTGTTGTTCACTGAGCTCTTATATCGTTTAATGACCGAATAATAGCCGATAGTGAAATTAATCTAGCACCCAGCTCTCTCAATAACAGTACAAAGAAGTGACATGTTAGCTTAAGTTAACCACAGTGTTTCAACTGGTAACTGATTGTATAATTAAAACGAACTCATTGTTAACATCTTAGTTTGTTAAAGATGACTAACTATTGAATTACAAAAAAGAAGGGGAAAATGCAGCAATTTCTATTCACATTGCTACCGAGTTGTAAACAATAATGAAGTAGTGGTAAAATCTAAATGAAGGCTGGTGTATCACATCCCTGCTGAATTGGCCCCATGTGTCCCATGTTTCTGTGTGGATAAACAACAGCTAGATATCCCTCCCTTTTTTACTTCAAATCAGCTGTGACGTTTTGTGATGCACCACATAGGGTCCCTCCCTGAAATCACAGTCTTTGTCCTCTCCTCTATCCTGAAAAGAGGAAGGGATGTGAAAGCAGAGACAAATTAGCACTTTAGCCTTATCTTTGTATTGAAGGTGAAACCATATTAACTTGCTATCATGGCTTTAAACAGGCGACATTCATATACCCCCCGGGTGAGTAACATGGACTCTCAATATGGAATAATGACTAATTTAGTAAATCGGATTTATCCTCTTTCATTGAAGTAATCAGTAGAATGTCATTTTAATATATTGGATGAAAATGTCAAAAGCAAATTGTTGTGGCACTCACCATATAATGGATGCAGGATTCACTCTGTTGCATATTGGATCAGGAATAGCGACTAGTAATAAAACTCTTGATAACCTGTAGAGACGACTAAGTTAATTTACGTTTAGCCCATAAGCATGCTTTGGTTTCCATTAATCTTAAAATGTTTTTAATCGAGAGGATTCTAAAGGTACCTCTCTCCTTCTGTCGTATAGCTTTGATGAAATTTTTCTATCCAGTGTTCTGCCCTGTGGTTTAAAACTGAGGCAGCGTGAGTCCACATGTCTCTAAAGCTCCATAAAAGGATTAGACTATTGCAGTCCCAGTTTGTCTTGAATGAGCATCTTTGTCTGAGCTAGGCAGGGATATGACTTGTTTATCAGGAAGTCTATTCAGGTCCAGGACACATGACCGGGTGCATGAGTGTTTTTCTGTGTTTAGTGGCCTTGAGACTTGTCCTGTCATTGAATATTTTTAATTCCAAAGACTGCTAGCGGGAGCAGGGAAAAATATGATGGCATAAATGTTACACATAAAACCATACTGGTTCTTGGATGTTTTGTAGGACTTGTGTACATATTTAAAAAAGTGTCATACATAACCTTACTGAGCTATGTCTTTCACAAAGAATATGATATTGAAAGATATATTCTCTGTGAAAAGCATAAATAAAGCAAATTGTCTGTTATATAATGATCTTACCTTCCTTCTTCTTTGTCTCCATTTCTCCCACCGTTCCCCCCATTCCCATTGGTTAACAAACTTCCTATTCTTTCCCCTCCATCATTTCCTCCTCTTTCTTCCTACTTCCTCCCATGTGTATTCCCCAAATCCTCCAGCTGACCAGCGCACTGATCAGCAAAATGAGCAGCACAGGAACTGTGGAGAGTAGTAGGCCTCCAAAGGTAGGTCCCCTTTTAAAAACAGACAAAATAAAGAAATACATTGATAGGAAAACACAAACAAGTATCAAAATATGTGCATTGACCCACAGTCTGTCCTCGTCCTCTTCTAGATTGGCTCTACAGTGGAGGTGACAGGGAAGGGTCAGCGTGGTACCGTTGCTTATATCGGAGCCACCCTCTTTGCCTCTGGGAAATGGGTGGGTGTCATACTGGATGAGGCCAAAGGAAAGAATGATGGCACTGTGCAGGGGAAACGCTACTTCACCTGTGAGGAAAACCACGGGATATTTGTCAGACAGTCCCAGGTTAGTGACACACTTGTTATGTTGTAAGGATGCATGCCTGTCACAATAATTACGTCATCAATAAGTTAAACTATTGATGAACTTACCTTGATGATTTTTGCTGACCTCGATATTGCCTGTACTTCCGACATGATGCCAGAATCATCACACCTTTTGGTCCCCTGTCACTCTCACAGCTCCAGGTGGTGGATGACGGCTCTGGGGCCACCTCACCAGAGACTCCTGAATCAGGCATTGCAAGGACACTGAGACAGAAAGGTAAGAGGGAATCACAGCTGTGTTTGAAATCCATATTTTTGAAAGTATGAGTTAATATAAATACAAACAGAAATTCATAATTCTTATTTTGTTTCGTCCAGACACTCCAGAGACTCCCAGATCCAAGCAGGTAGGCAACCTTCACTTGCACATCACTGCTTCAAGTCCTTTTCACTTTAGTTTTGCGTTGTTTTCATGACTTTCCTTTGCACATGGATTGTCTTTTATATTGAGTCTTTAATGTTAATCACCTAAGCAAATTCCTGTCCTTCCAGAGCAGCTTTCTAGGTTTTTTCTTTTTGACTTCAAATTTGATCCCAAATATTCCTCTTTTTTGTACAATGTCAATGGGGTTCTGTTTGTGCCTCTCAGCCTTTGGGTTGACCTCTTTTTTGTTGTTTTCCCTGAATACCTTTTGCAGACACCCGTGAACATTAAGAAGGTAGAACAACATTAAATTACAAAACGTTTGCTTTTTGCCTTGGTTCTTTTAATCACACTAACGTGGCCACTCATCTTTTATTTTTATTTGGACCTTTACATTTTGGAGTTTGCACGGAACATAAAGAAATCTCTTGGCATTGATACAAGTCATTGTGTTTTCACTTTATTTTGTACATCAGATGTTGTCGTTTCGTGCTCGTTTCAAAATATATTTTGTTCTGCATCCAGCGCACGCATTAAGAGGTGAAATAACCACAGTTGTACAGCCGTATTGGTGGTGTCTTGGTTATTCATTTTAGTCTCACAATCCAGTCACATTTTGCAACTGTTTTAACACTGTTGCATGGGTTTACATTTTATTCAGCGTCCATGGCTCCAGTCATCAAGAATAACTGTTACAAATGGTGCATGCAGCCATCAAACTTATGATATGAACTAACAGTGGGTGTGATTCTGATGTGCTGCTAATCTCTTATCTTGCTTCACCAATGAATGTGTGTTTGTATATCTGTGTGCGCTTGTGTGTATGCGTGTCCATCCCTCTTTTTTGCAACTCACCTCCTCTCCTCCAGTCCTCTACCCGACGCTCTGCCAAGGTGAGCTTGACTGTGCAGCAGACAGCAGACTGTGGAGGAAAACAGTTTGATTTAAAAACATCAGTCTCGTAAAAGTTGTTATTTTAATGTCAACGTTCTATGGCTGCTTTGCAAGTTAAATCAAGGCCACAGCTTTACATGTTTGAAAACTTTAAAAGGCCATGCATTTTTGTGTTATCTGATAAGATTTCCTTCTGTTACAACAAGCTAACTATGTAGTTGAATTTTACAAATAACTCTTGAGACCTAACGCAGTGTCTATGATCACACTGTGGCAGTGGAGCACTCCAGGCCGTCTAACCCCCGCCACCTCCCTCCCCTCCCTCTTGATCCGTCCCTCCATCCGCTCCAACCTGCCGCTCAGGGTACGCCCTGTCATATCAGGGTACCTCACCCTTTACTTCACTGGGAGTGGTTATTTGTTATGTCACTGAAAACTGGTGAAGTGTTGTCCTTTGGTGCACAGGTGCAGGGATCTACCAGATACATTAACTTAAAGTGGTATATGAAGGAACTTCAACTACATCTCCTGTGAGGGACACTGGGAAGTTTGGTCTGTGGGTTAACGGAATAAAGTCAGGAAGGTTATTATATTTGAACATAAGACATCCAGCGGCACAGCATGTAAAGCCGGATGTTCACTCGTGTGTGGGAGAAGCTCTTGTTTTGTTTATTGGCTTGAGTGATATTTAACACTTAAACACCACAACATCTTCCCCTTTCTATCTCTTTCCTTTTTTTTCCCACACTAACATACCTGCTCTGGTCACCAGGCGTCTCGTGAGAGCCTGTCCACCTCTCTGTCTGGAGATGTCAGTGAAGCGGCCCACCCCTCCCATCCGGCCGCCCTGGGGGCTCCTGTCATGCCTCAACCCAGCGGGTCAACTGCAGCATCAGCAGCTGCGGGTCCAGCTACTCCAAGCAAGGTAATGCATGCAGAATCTACGTGTGTGTAAAGTGTATAACTATCATACAACATTTATTTAACAGAAGTTTAGCTGTTTAGTAGGTTGCTGTTAGAATGGTATGGTTTAAAATGAAGGACCAGCAGTGTTATAAACTGTATAAACATATATATATAGACGTTGCAACAATAGTAACTTCAAATAATTTGTACTTGAAGTCAATGTGAGTAAATGTCTGTGATGCAAGTCAAATTTCAGACTTGATCTGAAAATAAATTATTATTGTAAATACAATGGTGCCTTTGCCAGGGATAGAAAGAGACCTGTAATGAAAAGTATTAAGTCTCACATTTCCATTAATGATAAACGGCACAGAAGATCAACATGAAAGACTTTCTTTTCAGTACTTAGCAGTTTGTCTCATCTCTATCATTTTGTTTTCTATTTTATCTGGCAGAGAATGTTGTCATTCTCTGACCAGGTGGAACCTGTCATTTCCAAGCAGGTAGAGTCTTCTAATGGCTTCATGCATGCTGGTGATATCTGGCATACTAACAAACTTGAATAACATCAAAGGGCAAAAGGACCCTCAGCACAGCTTGTCAATACTTGAATTGGGTTTTAAAAAGTCCTCACGGTGAATTCTGCGGTGATGATGCATGGGTTACCTTTCTGAGACACTGAATACGAAATTCCACTTTTGTTTCCAAGGGATTTAATGAATCTGTCTTCCTTGCTAATATATGTAAAGTTACTTTTGAGGCAGTAAAATCAGAGGATGAATTTACTTGGGAAAATTATTTGAACATTTATTTGGAACATTGATAATCTTGTTCTTGGTATTTTGGTTGTGGGACTTGATATATTTTTATATATCTCTGCATTAAAATAAAGTCTTTGGCAATCAATGATGTCCAGTTAATCTTCTTAACTAAAAGCATTGAACTCCCCCCACCCATCCATCCCTCTCAGGAGGAGGAATCAATGCGTGCTCAGGTCAAGGACCTGGAGGAGAAGCTAGAAACCCTGAAGATGAAGCGGACTGAGGACAAAGCCAAGCTGAAGGAGCTCGAGAAACACAAGATCCAGCTGGAGCAGCTTCAGGAGTGGAAGAACAAAATGCAGGAGCAGCAGGCTGACCTGCAGAAACAGCTCAAAGAAGCTAAGAAGGTACACAGAACAATCAAGTACTTATCATTTGTTGTGAGAGCATTATTGGTATTTACTATATGTTGTTACAAAGAAAGAAATACTTATCCTTTTAGGATAGGAAATGGTGGATAATTTCCAACCTTTAAGACTGAAAGTAGCAGACCTTCTAGAGCAGGGCTTCTCAAACTCTGGACCGAACTGCAAATCAATCCGGACCGAACCCTGTGTCCCATTATTTACTAAAAGAATTTCTGAATCTGATGAAAATGAAAGTTGACCTATTATGCTATATTGGGAAAAAATATATTGTAGGGCCATACCTATACAAAACATGTCTGTAAAGTGCCTGATCAGAATTCTACCGGAGATAAAGTTAAATTCTGCTGTGATAAAACGCCATCCTGTTCTAAACCACATGAAAGATTATTTCTGAAACAGTATCTCAAATGCTTTTTCTCTTGCGGGTTTATCACAAGGTGAGTTCCTTTTTTTTATTTCCTGCTTTTTAAACACATGTGCTCTACAGTACAGGTTAGCTCTGAATGTTAGCGAGGCTTGCTAATGTAAACAAAGACGAGATTACGTCCAAAACACGTCAGGCATTGTTTCTGATGGCAACTCTCTGTGGGTCCTCTGCCGATTTGACGTCAGATCGGCAGCAAATCTGTATCCGCTCGTTGTACCCGTGTTTTTAAAGGATTTGGGTACGGAGGAAAAGAGAAAGGGTTTTATTTTCTGACGCTGTGTGGGTTCCCCGACACACCGGGGACACATATTTATTTATAAAAGACATCAAAAAGTGCATGATAGGTAGATCCGTCGTGGGTCCGAACGTTATGTATGTATGTCATACTACCGAAGCTTGATCACCCTCTTTACCCGTCGACAAACAGACATCGGAACTTGGAGCCCGTTTTTACGTAATCGTCTTTCAGTTCCATTTGAACGTCGACGTTACGCACAGTCGCGAACGCGTCGTGTTCATTTATATAGTGACTTCAAGTACAGAGTGTTGCGCAGGTCTGTTGTTCTTTTATATAGTAATCTCCCCTCGGNAGGGGCTCCTTATTTTCATCTAAAGTAACAGACAGAGAATCAGCACTTTGGAAACAGGGCTGAAACAGAGGGGATTATGGGATGCTGCAATTATCTGTTTGGTAAAACAGATAATTGCAGCATCCCATAATCCCCTCTGTTTCAGCCCTGTTTCCAAAGTGCTGATTCTCTGTCTGTTACTTTAGATGAAAATAAGGAGCCCCTCTGAGAGATATTTGGTTAAAAAGAACACAGTGGTGCTCTAGGAGGAGATTCAGGTGGTCAGGTGGGCGTTATGACATCATAAAGTGGCCAAAATCTGATCAGTTCATTTTCAGACAGGTTTTTATATAAATGGATCAGGACAAAAAGCGAGCGAATCTTTTGTCCTGAAACTTTCAGAATCTCTTTCCACAGAGGGGACACATGTTGATGTATAAAAGACGGGAGAAAGTGGATTTTGCATAATAGGTGACCTTTAAAGTCTAGGAACCGAGGGTTATTGTATAGGTAAACTGGAGGTGGACAATTAAAGGAACAATTACAGATTTATGTTGTACATTTTATACATGTTAGCAGATAGGGACCCTCCGGTCACAAGTCTTCATTACCCCACTTTTACCGATACCTCTATGCTAAAGTTAGCGCCAGAATTAAGGTTAAGGAATTGTGGCTCTACTGTGACATGTTTCATGCTCAAATGCTCAAAAAGTGTTCTTTTTTTCTCTTTACTTTTCACCCTCTGTCTGAAATGAGATCCCAGCCTGCTCTGATTGGTTGGATGGACGGATTTACATTAAGTTACATTGCATTTAGCTGACGCTTTTATCCAAAGCGACTTACAATAAGTGCGTTCGACCAAGAAGATACAAACTTGAAGAAAACATAATCATAAGCACATCAGGTTTCATAGAGCTAAACCATTTCAAGTGCTACTCAACTGGCTTTAGATAAGCCAGTCCTTTGTTAGTATATAAGTGCTTTGTTAGTAATTCTATCGCTCGAAGTGGAATTGAAAGAGATTAGTTTTCAGTCTGCGCTGGAATTGCAGTGACAATGTGGCAAAAATCACAATTGCACCTATTTTGCTGTGCGCACAAAGGTTGTACACATAATATTGAATAATAAAGGCAGTAGATGTATCCTGATGTGGGTGCCCAGCCCCACCCAACTGTTTAGGTTGTTTTGTCCTAACAATGGCTTTTATGGAGGTCAGCCAACCAGGAACAAAGATTCAGTTTCAAGTGAGAGCATTATTGGAGTAAATTGGTGAAGAGTTATGAGGTTGACTACTTCTATAGGCAATAGTGTATATGTTTAGTTCTTTCTCAAACTAACATGATCTTAAAACTTAAATAGGTATTGTTATAAGGCAATACACAAAGTGTTTGTGTATATTATTTGTGTGTGTGTGATGGCCTCAATGTTCTGGAATAGAGCTTGTGGCCATCAGGTTAATTCCCTGGTATCTCTGTGATAAAGGTGAAGAGCCCCTCCCTCAATAGCCGCTTTCAGACCAAGTACTTTGCCGCACTTAGTTCCCAGCACTTAGTTCCCAGCACTTAGTTCCCAGCACTTAGTGCCCCCGTGGAACTAAGAGCGTATACTGCCACCCGAAGTCCCCGGCCAGAAGTCCCCGGAGTTGGGGACTGGCTTCAGTAGAAGCTGCTGGGACTCCCAGCTGCTTCTACTGAAGCCTTCCGAGTAAATCGCCAGAACACCGACACCTCCTCATCTCCATGCTTTTTTCTCCCCAGGATAGTCCCACCTCTCTAGCAGGCACTAAAAATGGGGGTAAAGGTTGTCTGAACTAAGTTCTCTATTTGGTGTGAATGCAAAATTCCAGGCACTAACAGAACTAAACGGGAAAAGTACAGGTAAAAGTACTCCGGTGTGAAAGCGCCTAATACTGCCACTGAGGCCCCAATTTAGACCCCTCTGCTCCGTGGCCAGTAGTGTGAATTTGTGTAGCTGAGCGGATGTGATCAGTGTGTTCCTGCAAACCAGAGGCTTCCTCTCAGGGAAATCTCTGAATAAATAAAGGTTAAAAAAAGAATATCCATGTAGACCTCACTACCTTCAAATGTACACAAAAGGTGTGAAGTGGATTTTCTAAATCTGTTCAGGCGTTAGTCTTAACATTTGACAGTAAGCCTGCATTACTGGAGCTGTGCGGTTTAACAATGAGGCCGTGGAGGTCTAATGGAAATGAATTGATTTTTGGGAAAAGTGGTTCCACTTTTCTTTTTATTGACTCAAATTAAGACTTAAAACTTCAACAGAATTACAACATTTGTGGCAAAACTTCCATCAAAATGTCAGATTCCATTGTTGAGTAAATGTTTACCTAATATGTTATTACTACGTTCTAGTTCTTTATGACAGTGTATTTCAATAGATTTGCTATTTCATTTTCATCCACATATATTCTGCTACTCTGTACTGTATGCTCACACACTGGCATGTTTGCTAACCTTGTGTGATATTTGTACTTGTTGTTTGAGTCAGATTTGACAGAGAAGGTCTTCTTGTTGTGATGCTTGGGATTTTCAGCATTTTTCTACAAAATGGAATTTTATTAATTTATCAAGCGATGCTGACATATACCCAAACCAGAATCAGCTTTATTAGCAGAATATGTGTACACTACAGCCTTCCAGATTGTCCTGACCGTACCTGAGGGCCAGCTGTCCCCCCCCCCCCC